CATTACAAGTCGAGCGGTAAACGTTGTTAGTTCACTCTCATCCTGTGTGTATCGTTTTCGTGTGTCATTTGTGCGTGAGCAGCACGCTGCATGTTTCAATCTACTTGCCATTCTTAGCGTGGCATTCCAAGTTGTTAATTTCGCATTCATTACTTCGCCCTTGCGGCGAAACTAACTTTTTTTGTTTTACGTATTTACTGCCTTTATTCTACCGCTGCGTGCCCTCGGAACTCGTAGTTCGCTATCGCATCGCCATGACCGCGGTTTCATGCACTGTAAAAGACAGTGCATGCGCCGGTCGCAGGAATACTACTGAAGCTTCGAGTACGCTGCTCTCGGCCTACGTTCGAGAGTTTCCGTACTAAGGTTTGTATCACCCGCCGCGATTACGAAATGCGTTCGGAACATTCAAATGTAGGCCCAACGAACATAGTGAAATTCTGCTAGGGAATTACAAGAATTCGGTCCACCGCAGCGCCCTTGGCATGAACGAAGTGGAATAAGCGTGGTTTCATTCATTCATTCACGAATTCATATCTGCCGCGCTTTCGCATTACTGAGATTCTATTCTACGTTAAGGATTAACACCTCTTAAACTCATTTATAATAAAATGAGACAGGTTCGAAAAGACTGTAGCGGATTAAGCTGCTTTTTTTGTCAATGCTGCCAGATCACGCACAGAAATTTCGATTTCCGGGAGATCTTCATGACAACTGTACAAACGGAAGAAACGGTCGAAATCCGGGAGTCTCCTTGCCAAAGCGGGAAACTTGGCAGGTATGAGCTTGTTATAAGTTGTACTTCATTTTGAAGCTACTAAACCAGCCGTATTGACTTGCAATGAGCGTGTGTAGACAATTAAGCGAGCTGATGCTGAGAAGATGGTGAGCAATGACATGGTGCAAATGAATTCATGTGAAGGCGGCAAATGCCCTTGCTATTGGCTAAGGGCCTTTACATGCGCTACCCGCACAGCCGCAACGCCCGTGCCAGGACCCCTTCTGCACGCAATCGGGAGAAAAATAAGCCAATTGGCGATGCTCTTTCACCCTCCGCAGCGTCGCCAATTGGCTTATTTGTCCCCCGCTTGCGTGCGGTAGGGGTCCCTGCCCATGCATTGCGGCATTTTAGGAAGCCCGTGGAACGGCCCTAAAGGGCCCTGCAGTCCTGGACTCGGTTATTCCGTACTGAACCATTGTGTCTTATGCGACCTCCAACGGCAACGTAGCTCTCGCCAATCATCCTGCCGTGCGCATTCTCCTGGCGTTTCGTCGCTTTTGCCAAGCAGTGCCCTGTCCTCGGACTCTTTCGACAGTGTCCCGTTTCACCTCCCCAATTTTTCCCATCTTTCTTTTCTCTTCCTTCCCTCGTGTAGTTCCATCACCTACAAGAAGTTTACCTGTGTCACCAACAAGGCAGACAAAAATTAGCTCTTTTTTCCTTTCCTTCAAAAAACGACTCACTGCAACCACAGGGGGAAGCCCATGCGCTAAACAAGGTGTAGAAATCCGCTTATTTGCCGATGATTGTATTTTATTCCGTTCAATCAACTCTTTAAATGATCAGATAACGCTGCACCAATCTGTCGAAGCCATATCTGCGTGGTGTGAACGCTGGGGAATGAATGTAAACCCTGATAAAACTATGTTCATGCACATCACTAACAGGAAACAGCCGTTTATTTACCCGTACAGTATAAAAAAGACCCCAATTTTACTTACAGAAAGTTACAAATATCTTGGCGTAACAATCACTAACAAACTAACTTGGTCTTCCCACATTGAAAAAATTTGTTCATCTGCACGTAGGAAATTAGGCATGCTAAGGTATATACTCAGTAGTTCTCCCCCCAGTACTAAACTTCTAGCTTATAATACAATAATCAGGTCTGGTTTGGAATATGCATGTGAGGTGTGAGATTCGCATACTAAAACAGATATTAACAATCTAGAGAATATCCAAAGGTTAGCCACCCGCTTTATTTTCAACCGATTTCGCCGATCTGATTCCCCAACTGAACTAATGCATAATAACAAAATTCAATATAATAACAAAATTCAAACTTTAGAATGTCGCAGGAAAATTGCAAGACTAAAACTTATTTTCTATCTATCCAGCAAAAAAAGTGTACTTGAGCTATCAAGTATTCTTTCTCCATTATCTTCTAGTCCAACTAGACGATATCATTCACAAAAATTCACTCCTATCTTTGCTCGAACTAACAATTTCAAATACTCTTTCTTTCCTCGCAGATTAACAGAATGGAACGAACTACCACATCACACTTTTGAACCTGAAAACGTGTTAAGGTGTGTTGAAAGTTTTTTTGAAGTAACTTAGATCTTGTTGTATATTTACCTGTTAGTTTGTGCCACCAGTATTGTTGTTTTTTTTCATCATATCCTAATACTGTACCATCCCCACTCCTGCCTGGGCTATTCTTAGCCTGCAGTATTTTTCTAAATAAATAAATAGCTGTCTTCAGTCTTTTGGAGCAGCTTTGGCTGCAGGAATAATGCGACTTTGGAGGAGTAAAAAAAAACATTTTGGAGCAGCTCTGGAGGAGCAAAAGGTGTGTATTGGAGCATCGAAATTTAGTTTTGGAGAACATTTCTCAGGCCACACATAACTGTTAATTAGAATTTTTGCTTTCTGGTAAACACAAGAACCTTCAGTGGTTTTAACTTAGCATGCAAATGCTGATCAAGCAACCAGACTTCCCTCAAATTCATATGTATTAAACCTTACAAAAGGTTCAAGTGCAGCAACTCAAAGAAAAAACATAAGTGGCGTTCTGGGCAGCTACTAGATCTCAGAAGATTTTTGTCACCGATAACGATCACTAAAAACATACTAGTGAGTAGTAACAGCCATTGCAGTGCCACTGACAAATCTCACTAGGTAACGTTCGTTTTTGGTAGCTATGCTCTTTGTAGCACTTTTATAGCACATAATAAAGCAGCAGGAGGGAGGACCTTGCTATATCCAAGTTTATACTGAAGCTTATTTCATATAAATGCTTTTGTTACAATGTCACATTTCTACATTCGTTGTGTATGACTACAGCCTTTTTTTGATGATGTGCAGTGCCATTTCAACTACCTGCATTTTCAGCAAAATGCCATACAGTTGAACCCCTTAATAAGAGACATGCACCGGGGAGCAATTGTCTCTTATACGCAGAATGCCATGCATGCATTTTTTTATCAACACCTATTTCGATGTAGGCCAAATGGTGTCTCTCATACCCATCAGTGCCTTTTATAAAGCGGTTTGAATGTACCTAGGTTATATTACCTTGGCCTCTCAGCTGGCTGTCTCAAATGAACTTCACTGCACCAAAATTAGCCTGTTTTATAAAAAAATTTTGAATCAACTGAGCATTGCCCCTAAGGTGTGTACAACTAAAAGTAACTGCACAGTTTGGTTTAAAGCACTTCTGGCTTAAGTGGCCTAACCAGCCTCAAAATATAGAAAAAAAAAATAAACGAGCACATTATTCTCTCCTGGAAATTTGGTCTACTTCATGATGAAAGAACAGTGATTTCTCCATTTGTCTATATAGGTCCATATTATAACTTTTTTAACACCTAAAAAATACAGAACAGGAAGGCGACAGATGAACGTCGAACGATTTTATGCGTGCTAGAAAAGTTATAATATCAATACATACTAACTTGCCCAGCTACATGTTTACTTTCAACTAGTCTATACATGCGGAATATCAGATGTGGATTGTCTCCTGCACTGCATCCAGTCTTCTTTGTCTACTACCGTGCGTGATGTCTTAGTAGGCTAAAAGCTGACACAGTACACATGATTTTAAGAAATAGGTGGCGAAGCATAGAGGAAATCATTGGCGAGGGGCCTCAGTGTGCATTACTACATCAGTTTAAACGACCAGAGAGATGCGTCTGAGACAGCTCACAAATGTCGTACCCAAGCTGTGAAATCTGTTCAATTGCAAGCAAGGTGGTTCAAGGCAGGGTTGAAAGCAGAGCAGATAAGAATAAAGTGGCAGCCATAATGCACTGCATCTTATTGGGTTCAACCAGAAACCAACTGTAGACAAATACTAAAATAAAGGTAATCAAATACTTGTTCTCCAATTGCAGGGTCATTTCTTTCCTGCTGATACAGCTGACGAAATCGTAACTCACTTATGACCTTTGCTTCCCCTCACAATGAAGGCTTTGTCTGAATTAAAAAACTAAAGCAAGTGGAAAGCAGACAAAAAGAAGAAAAATGCACACTGGTCATGTTCAGACCGTGCACGAGACCTCAGAGTGATGGCTCCAGCTTGACCGACCGCTGTAGCAGGAAGTGTCCTTCGATGACCGCTGGTGACACATCCTCCGAGCTGGGTCTTGACAGCTCACCCCCTTCTTACCACAAAAATGGAGGGGGGAGTAGTTGTACCACACACAGCAAGCACACACAGTGGAAAATGTCCCCGTTCAACTAACATCACGCAAATTCAAAGGTCCACACCAGGCATTTTCAGATGCCCACAATATAATATGGGTAGGCTTGAAAAAAGAATCCAGGATCACATAAACAAGCCAATTGTGCTGAGTGCTTCTTTTTTTTTACACAACAGCTCACACATTTAATAAAGCAAGGCGAGGACCTGCCAACCAATCAGAATCAAGAAGAAAAAAAGGCGGGGGATTCTCTATTGTTGGCTTCTGATTGCCATCTACTTCACCGAACTATCAGCGGTGCACAATGGAAGAGCCCTCTTTTTTCTTCGCAACATCCGGCTGATCCTTGTCGGATAGCCAACACAATTTATAGCCCTCACTGCACAACACAGTCAAGGAAACAGAATGCACACCTACAAGCCATCTAAATAATTGAGAAAAAAAAAGAACCACGAACATCAAATTATTAAAATATCAGTAGCCTTTTGGTTAGCTTGACCATTCCCTGTTCGTTTTAATCATCAAGTTACACACTAAACAAATGAGCAATGGTGCGATGGTCGAGAGGTACTCACAGTGCATGTCCCGCTCATGTTCGTACTCGACGAAGGCGTAGCCCCGGGGCTTGCCAGTGATCTTGTTGTGCACGATGACAATCTGAAAGAACACAAACATACTGTGGGACAAGCCTGTTTTCATGTTCCTTGGTGTTAAACAGCTAAGGGGCACACCGAGCATTCCCTCTCACCAAAGAGTGAGAGGTTACTGTGTGGCACAGATGCGTAATAAATTATTTACATGAGAAATGTGTAAATGTGTAAATGTGGTTTGCATCCACATGTGGATGCAAACCATGAAGTAACTTCAACCAGGAGAATCCAACCACTCGTATTTCCACATTTTTCTAATGGTTTACATCAATCAGTAGAAAGGGCTGAATGGGAGGGGTTAGCAGGAAAGAGCTGTAACAGTTTCTAAAGGCCCGAAAATTGGAGAACCCTTGCTCAATACTTTGTTTTTGGCTTAACAATAACATGTACATATGGTAAGACTAATTTGTTCAAATTATTGCGCATTTTAAACGCTTAAGCATTTCTATGCCTACTCAACAAAAAATCTCTCCAAGTGTCTGTTCCTCAGTCACATAAGACAAGCATAGTTAAAGAAGATTGTACGAAGCAAAAATTTTCTTGGTTGTGCAACCAAGGCCCCCCCCTTGCTCAGTGACGCCGCTGAGAACTTCTGACTATGAGCAGTTTTTTGAACAGCAAAATTTTCATTTTAGAACACTTTGCAGCCGCAAAAGCTTTCTCATCTTGGAACACTTTGTAGCAGGTTATTTTGCACCTGCGACCACTACGCAGCAGCTAATTTAATCCTGAAGTACTCTCACAAAGCAAGTTGCATTTACATTCAAACACCTGAATACTTATTATTGCACTCTTATAAAAAGCTAGAAATATTTTGTTTCAATAATGATCGCATGGAGAAATTTCAGGGGCCCTTCATATTTCACTCAATAATGCGAAAATAAGGGTGTCACACAGTTATGGTAACACTTCCTCAGTGATGACTCTTGCAAGTAAATGAATACTCGATCAATAAAACAGTACTTTATGAATAAAGTTTGAAATATATTGTTATGGTGCGACATAACATGAACCAGGGTGGTGGTCGCCAAAGATGAAGAAGACGAGTAAACGTAGAGCTGGCGCGTGGTACTCATCAGCCATACCGTCTGGCTGACGATCAGCTGCTTGAATAAGCCTCGATCTCGCCCCCCTCACACTTGGTGAACGTGCTGTAACCGCCTCGCAACGAAACTTGGCAGCGGCCATCGCTTGAGGGAACTCTGCAACTATGACGAAAAGTACGGCGCCTGCATCTGCCCCCGGTGTTCCTGCGGCTGGAGATGATGCAGCGAATACATCTGCTCCGGCGCATACAACCTTCCTGCTCGAACCCTCACGAGATCCTGGCATGTTTAGCGGTTCCTGTGATCTAGATGAAATAGACGTTGAGGATTGGCTTAAAGGAACCGCCAAAGTGTGGTATGATAACAATGAAGCAGAACTTGGGAGTTGGGAAACATGCAGGCAGAAAATGTTGGACTTGTTCGGGAAGCCCGTTGAAAAAAGATGGCTGCAAACAGAATGCTCGCGTCTCCGGCGCAAACGTCCATAGAATCGTACATCTGGGCGCAAACGTCCATAAAATCGTACATCTAGTAAATTGAAGATGCGATTTCTTTGTGCCAGGAAGTGAATGCCGAGATGACAGAGGCCAACAAAGTTAGGCATATTCTTAAAGAGATTGCCGGCAACGCCTTCAATCTCCTAATATGTAAATATCACTCAACCGTGGACGCCATTGTAAAGGAGTACAGGCACTTTGAGCAACCTATGTGCCGGCGCATCAATGGTGCGTCTGACCGGCTTCCCAACACAGCTGCAACGTCGTTGCGTGAAGATCACGCGGGAACGCAATCACCGGCTCTTATTTCGCCAGACCAGGTGACTAGAATCTTACGGCGCGAAATTGAAGCCATGACTCCTGCTCCAGCTTACATCGGTACAGCTGATACGACACCGGTTACTGTTCTCGAGGTTCGGGCCATCATTCATCAGGAACTGTGATCAGTTCGCAGTCAACCTCATGGCATCTAGCTTCGTCTTATCCCGAGCAGCGCTTTCGTGCCGCCCACTCTCGCGGCCCAGCAGCTTGGAGAAATGCCGACAACCGGCCATTTTGTTTCCACGGCCATCGTATCGGCCATGTAGTCAGTCCGTTACTGCAATGCCCACTGGTCTTCACCACGTCAGACGTTGTCTGCCCCATGCTGACAGGGTGACACCCACCTTGCACCGCCGACCCAGTTCTCTTCCTCCAACCTATCCACAAGGTTTAACAGCCGCTCCCCGTCGCCCAGTAGTCATCAGTCACGCTTGCCTCCAGGTCGTCGCCAGTCGCCTCGCTTGATGCAGTCAAAATACCTATGTACATAAGCATTTCTAAAGATCTCACTCGTCCTGTGTGGGCAACTGTCATTTGCTTACCACCGCTGTATTCAGAAACGCTTCTTGACTTGAATTTGACTTGAAACCACCTTCAATGCAGCGTGTTTGAAATTCGTTTGTGCTGCATTGAAGTCGGTGGCAAGTAAAGTTCAAGTCAAGCAAAGTTTCTGAATACGGGGGTTAGACACCCGTCTTTCACGAGGGAACACCAGGGATGAAGAGGGGGGCATCACTGAAAGTGCACAGTGACTGCCCGCTGTCTTGATATATGAGGAGTCCACTTGCTGGGCTCTGAGCACTTGCTCAAAAAGCAAGAAAACCCCTTCCGTGCAAGAGCAACTGTATTCCCTTAAAGGAGCACTGATATCAAATTTTAAGATCGAGATGTGCCCATCATTCGATCGCTCGGCATGCATAAGTCTTCTTGGCCAAATTTGAATGGCACCCATTGTGTAGAAGTTATTTTAATTTGACGTCAAACAGCGTAAAAACCTACAGAGAAAAAAACGTAGAATAGACTGCCCTGTGACACCGACAATAGTGCTGCGTGTTCGTTGTGATACACTCCACAAATACCATCCTGAGTGACGATACGCTAGTACCAATGACGTCGATGATCCGAGTGTGTTTGGAGCCGACTCCCAGCCATGCTCTCAATAATGGCTCTCCTGGCGGTGTTGAAGTGTGCGTGTGATTCATCATGTCGCATCGACTATTTGACGTGTGCTCCAAAGCATGAGTACTATCATGCAGAGTGACAATACATGCCAGAATATGGGGGAACCGCCCTGCGCATCGGGGCACGAAAAAAGCGGAAAGTGCGTGCCGTTTCATGCCTTTCCAAGCCACGAACCTCAACGCAGCCAGTGGGTTGACTTTGTATGCGCCGATGAACAGACAGACTGGACGCCTGTGAAGAACAGCAGCATTTGCTCGCTTCGCTTTGCGCTGAGCTGCTACAGGATAATTCCTGTGTTGGCGAACCAGTTGGGTTTCACTGGCAGTATTAGGCCCCTTCTCAAGGCCGGGGCTAAAAGAAGGGAGGAAAGAGTTGGCGCTACTTGATCCAGCCAGCAGAAAACGCATGTAGGGGCTTTATTCTACATCATCAGAGACACAGCTGTACTGACTGCACGTGCGCTTCTAGCAGACGAAATGCCAGTGTGCGTGACGTCACCATTTTTTGTGAAAGCAGCATCAGCTGTGCCGCGGCCTCAACGTGACCGTGAGGTAGCGCTGGCAGCACTACAATTTGGCAGGCTTTCGACCCATTTTGAACCATGTTCGATAGCAGATATATCAATATTATAGATATTCATTCGTCACTCAGATGCCTTTTAGGTCGCGAATCGCTACTAGGGAATTGACAGCTACTCGTTGACGCAAAAATCTTGACCTTTAAATCTTGCTCCTTTAAGTTTTCTTCAGCAAGAGCAGATACAAGAGAGAGCTGCAAGCCTTACTTTGTATAACAATATAATTTGTCGTAATAATTGCTTCAATGTTAGGCAATACTGTGATTTTTTCACCGTTTGCCTTTTAGGCTGTTCTTATTTTGTTAGTGTTTTGACGTAGTAATTATGACTCTGGTAAACAGATGGTAGTAGGCAGCAATTCTCGGTTGGGAGTATAGTATACAAACTAGTAATTACATCGACGAATAGCCTGAGGACTTACATTAGTCGATGGAAAGGTAAGGGCAAGGCAACTATCAAGATGGAGTTGATTGTTGGAATTGCAGACCAGACACCTCGTAGTGTCACTTTTGTGCCAAGGTATTGCTTATTTTGACATAAAATGACGTTTTAGTGATCTGTATTGGGTTAGCACAATTCAAATTACCCGCTTCATGCGTTGCCTCAACCGTAACGGTCACATCACTGTAGCCGTGCACAATGTTGCCCGGCTTTACTGCGCAGCCGCCAACACTAGTAGCAGCAGAATGAAAGTAGAGGGAGCTACAGCAGCTACAAACGCCATTGAAAAATTTCCTGACATGGCCTTCGAGATGGAAGACGTGCTTTGATTAAACTGCCCCCGCTAGATGCCATCTAGCGGGGGCAGTTTAATCAAAGCACGTCTTCCATCTCGAAGGCCATGGCAGGAAATTACAATGTAAATAGGCGAAAATTGAACCCTCGCACCATTCCGCATAGTAACATCCAGCGATTCTTTTTTCCATGAATCACACAAACGAACAAGCAGCATTTTATTATGTCTCTTGATACACGGAAGGTTCTTTATTTAATGCAGCTAGTTTGATTACTAGTGATTAATTGTAGGTGGTACGTCTGATGTAAACGGAATCATTTTGCGAATGACCAATCGTAACACGTGTTTTCGTGCACTGACCCTAATTTCTCGGTAAGCAGGCCACTGCTGTTGATGACATTGCTACGTAGCTGACATATCAGGGGTCAGAAGACGACAACGAGGAAGTGGTCTGTCCGTTGTGCGTGCTGTCCTCCCTCTTAGTCGACGCAATATGCATCAGTTTCAATATAGATTCTAAATGGACACGCTTCGTATCATTTTTACATGACATCTTTGTAGTGGACGTGCTGGGTACTTTCCTGTCTTCATCTTGAAGCTCTGCAACGGCCACATCATCATAGGTCCAACCATGTCACAGATTGAACA